TTACTTAGTTTTTTAAAAATTCTATTTAGAATATATACACATAAACATTAAACATGATAGTGACTTATCATACAGTCTCAAAAGTGTAGCCAAGTTTTTTATCTAAGAATATGCCCGTGTAAAATTAGGTTTGCAATGCAGCATACGACTACATAACACGTGTCAATATTCCATCAATAAGTATTAAGTTCTGCCAGAGCAGTGTGTGTTAGGCTGAGTGTCGCTAGTAGAGTGAAACCCGCCTAAGGAGGTCACCATCAGTTCCACCAAAAAGTAGTTAGTTTAACAAGGGATGGTCAAAAATGGAAAATCTTCTAAAACTAGTTCAATCTATGTTTACATTTTTGAAAAAATCCATTCATTAAATTTCTTAAATGTTCTAATTCTTTAGCATCACCTACACTTTCAGGTAGTATCCTCTTTTTTAGTCGATTCTGGAAGAAAAACTGTCTGATCAACATGGATCATGAAAGGATCCCTGCTAAGCTTTGCTTCCTCCTTTTTCATCCAGATGCTACAAATGACTTTTGTTGTTGTTCTTGTTCTAGATACTTCTGGACATGGTGTAAATACATCTGATATGTATTCAATTCCCAAAACCTTAGAATATGGAAACAGAACTTACAAAATAATTAATGCAAATATGACTTGGTATGCAGCAATAAAAACCTGCCTGATGCATGGAGCAGAACTGGTCAGCATTGCAGACCAGTATCACCAGTCCTTCCTCACTGTTGTCCTCAACCGGCTAGGACGTGCGCACTGGATTGGACTGTTCACTGAAGATGTAGGTGTCCTACGTCCCTTGGAACTTCCTTGCATAATCAAGTTTCCCATCTACCGCCTTAGTGATAAGGCCACAGAAATTTCCCAGAAATAATAGTAAAAGTAACATTTAAATAATTAGTTTAGGCAGTAAATACTGACCAACCTTATGAGTAGCCTAAGACTACAAAATAAGTGTGCACACTTCTTTAGGGTAAACATCCACTTGCCTAATTTCTGGAAATTAATCCCTTTCAAAGGTTTTCTGAAATTATTCAGGTATCCCTGTATCCTGCCTCATGTGTGCACCAGAACACATCTTATACTCAGGCACTGCCTTCGGGTAATTTGTTGCATGTAAGGAATTCCCAAGAAAAATGAGTCATGCTTCCTGCCTAGAAATTTGACTATTAATTAATCAGTACCCCTTGAAATTTAACACCTGGGGGTTTTTTCCCCTCTAGGGATGCTGTTTAGAAAATAAATTTGTTTTCAGTTGTTTGTTAAATAAAAATATTAAACAAAGTAGTGAATAGTAAACTCTATTCTACCCTGAACCCTAGTTCTGCTCCGCAATGTTAACCAATGTAAGCACTTTCTCGTATGTCATCTAGAAATTTTCTATGTATACACATATATATACCATGTAAAGGGTGGCTACATAATAATGGATTGTTTTTTAAACATAAATGAGATTATATTATACATGCTGTCCTTAAACTTGCTTTTTAATTTAATATATTTTTTACAACTTTCCATGTCAGCATGTAAAAATCTCATACATTTCTTGGAACAGCAGCATATAAGGACATATGGCAATTTGTTGAACCATCCTCTATGAATGGACATTTGGGTTCTTCTCAGTTTTTCACAATTATAAACAATGCACAGCAAGTATCTTTGTGCAAGTAAGATAAATTCCCAGAAGTAAAATTGCTAAGTACATTTTAAATTTTGACAAGTACTGCCAAATTGCCCTTCAAAAGTTTGTGCCAACATGCCAACAGCAGTGTATGTTAACGTCTAGTTTTTCACATCCTTGCCAGAACTCGGTATTATCAAAATTTTAATCCTTGCCAGTGGGATAGGCAAAAGAATGGTATTTCATGATTGTTTATTGTATTTTTGTATCACAGGGTGTGTTGACTTTATGAGTCAATTTTGCTTTATGGTCTCTGGATTTTGTATGACTTAAAAAGATTTTCCCCATACCAAGAGTACAAATAATTTAGCCAATTTTTCTTCAACACTTTTATATTTTCAATTTTGTGTTTGAATTTTTGATTAATTTGAAATTTATTTTGGTATAAAGAACAAGGCATTGGTCTAACTTCGCTCTGATTGTTAACTAGGATATTATCATGGTAGAGAGCCAAGGATTCCAAAAAAAAAAAAAAGATATCCCATTTGTGGTAGATATTCCTTTTTGTCAGGCTGTATTCACAAGATGCCCTAGACCCTCTGAAAAAAGGTGTGGAAATATAAATCTATGTGGGAATTGTGATGTGCTCAGACAGCACCGTGTGATGCTGCCAGCAGTCTTGGCGAAGAAATGATGGCTCAATTTTCCTCCACAGAATGGTCTTAATTTTGACTGGTCAGATGGCACCAAATCCTCTTTCACTTTTTGGAAAGACGAGGAGTCGTCCTTCCTTGGTGACTGTGTTTTTGCCGACACCAGTGGACGCTGGCATAGCACAGCCTGCGAGTCATTCCTGCAAGGTGCCATTTGTCGCGTGCCCACTGGTAGGTTCAATTCTGTTCAACTCAAGAAATACACCCTGGGCACCTACTGTATGCAAGGCCCTGTGCTAAGCAGGGAATATAAGGACGAATAGTGAGAAGTCTCTGCCCTCAAGAAGCTTCTTGTCTGGTCAGTGATGTAAAGACAAACAACCGTTACACCAGGCAGGCCCACCAAATGACACAAGAGAGGTAGCGAGTGCGGCGGGGGTTATGGAGAAAAGAATGTGTCCTGTCCGTTTGGGGAAAAGTAGAAGGGCTTCTTGGAGGATACAACAGGTCAGGGGTAAGGGTGAGGTGGGAAATCAGACTAGAAACTTGGGTTAGGAGCATGTGTGGAGGACCTAGACTGAGTATTTATGTTTAATTCCATGATTAATAGGATTCCAGAGCCATTTTGATGGTGATGATGATGATGACGATGATAATGATGACAGCTGATACTGTTTGGATATTTACTATATGTCTGGCCCTGCACTTTACATAATATCTCATTTACACTGAAAGTTCACCTGACCCAACCCCTTTATTAAATTTGAAACTTAAACTCAAAGCGTAAATAGCTTCCTGAGGATCTCACCGCTGCCCATCAATAGCACCAGGAGCAGAAGCCAAGTTTCCTCACTCTGTGATGGGCTGTTTATCCCATGTCACCAGGCCCCGCTCCCTTGATCACTATGGTGGGCATAAAGAGCATTCCCTAACACTAGCTGGTCTCCTTTTTAAATCTCTCATTTAGTAAAAACACATGTTTACTTAGATTCTGGGTACTGTATCAAATAACATACACATTATGTAACTTTAGATCAGAACAATTCATGATTAAATGTAAACGATAGCCATATTGAAAAAGCTAATTCTGCTTCCAAAACACCATAAAAACTGTCCTTCCCTTTTCAATAGCAATGCATTTGTTGGGTGTTTAAGAAGTGTCCGGCACTAACTCATCCAAACTTCTCAACTTATAAGAAAGGTATCGTTGTTAATTCCCTTATGTAGATACAGAAACCAAACGTAGGGGGACAGTCCCACGGCCACACAGCTAGAAAGTGGCGAAGCCAGGATCTCAGCATGAATGTGTCCGACTCTCATGCTTGCTCTCTGAAGTAATGTCCCTCCTAAATTTCCCTTATTTATTTTATGTTATGCTATTTTATGATGCTTTACTGAATGCATTATTTTCTCTCATAGGTTTATTAGCAGGAAGGATTTTTCAAATGTGATACTCAGCACTAAGTGGAACACGTTTTGTACTTTTGGAAATCCCTTTTGCCAATGTCATTTAGCTGTCACTATTTCTATGAATCATATCCCCCAGCTGTTGCCACCTTTAGGGTACTAATTGTAAACATGAAAGACAGCCACCCCATCCAGGCAATACCCAAACTAAGCCTACAAAGCTATGCATTAATATGCCTTGTTATGTTTAGGTAAAGATTATTTCTGCCAGAAATGCTATAAACTGGTCCTAGTTTTGTAATCATTTACATTAAACCCAATCTTTCAGAGTATTACCATGAAAATCTTGTTACATATATTTATCTTGGTCTTTCTTAGAATGTAATATAATGTTTATCACAATAAATAAACCCAGTGACCACCCTGAAATCATAACTGGTTTTTCTTCATAGAAACAAGACCACTTGAACACCCAGAATTGTGTTCAGAAACATCTATTCCCTGGATAAAATTTAAAAGTAATTGCTACAGTTTTTCTACAGTCCTAGACAGTACGAGTTTTGAGGCTGCTCATGAATTTTGCAAAAAGGAAGGTAATTCTTTTGTGATGGTAAAATGCTTTCATGTGATTCTTCTTGATATTTCAGTAAACAATGTGGTTTTCTTCAGTTGTCCGATTATTTAGTGAATTTAGGAGCAACAAAAACTATTGAAAAAATGAATGCTATTAAAGTTGCTTGTTTGGAGGACAGCGAATATCTGAAACTTAATGTCCAGTATAGAATTTGAAAACCTTAGACGATGTCTCAGCATACTGCACTTCCCCAAGAAAATGTTCCTTTTGAATGCATTTGCATTATGAATTTTGAATGTTCCCTGAAATTAATATTCTATGCTTTAACTTCTTAAGTGCCAGCTAGAATCTTTTAACAAATGTGGTTTTACCTTTAAGATTTTTAATCAAAAATCACTTATGAACCATGGAAATTTTCACTTTTCAAAACCTGAGCTTTAAAAATAATTGTATAGGAGACATTTTAAAAATTATATTTATGTGTCAACACAAATACTTGTTCATTTGCTACTTGTCTCTTTTACAGGATCTAATCTTTTAACAATCAAGGACGAGGCTGAAAATGCATTTCTCCTAGAAGAGCTTTTTGCTTTTAGTTCTTCTGTCCAGATGGTTTGGTTGAATGCTCAGTTTGATAGTAACAGTAAGTGATTTGGGGAGGGAAGAGGAGACGACACAAATAAATACATGATTGTTAAGGCTGATGATAATGGCATGTGTGAGCCAGAAAACTCCCCTTGGATACATTTGCTATGAAAAATAGCATGAATCCTAAAGCCATATCTTCCCGAAACAACATTGCTAGCCTTTTCTATACCCTCTTATCCTTTGGAATAGTCCCAGAATACCCAAAATAAAAACAAACAAACAATAACAAGTTTACTTTTATACTTAGCATGAAGATGCTTGGCTGGAACTTCGTGTTCATGGAGTTAGCCAGAGCATACCAAAACCATATTTACTTGAAAATACCCCCAGGTTTCTAAATGTTATAAGAGCACAATAGAGTTGTGGAAATGTTTCAGTGATAAATTGTGCTATTAGAATTCTTATTTGCTGCTCATAAAAAACAGAATTTGTAATAAAATGAAAACATGGTATTCTTTTCTTTATATAATTAATGGTTATTGAAAGGTACTTGTAAAGAAAATTATTTTAATTGGCGTGGAGAGCTTGTTACAGTGGTGTACCAAGGTGGGGGGTGAGACTACCCTGGCGCTAAGGAGTATTTTAATCACCGACGTTGTTTAGAATTTCTAGCAGATGGTGATAATAAAAAGCAGACCAACTTTAGTCAGTTTTATTGTGAGTTTTAAATTCTTTTCAGACAATGCATCTCCCCCCCTTATTGTCCACACACGGATGGACTCTCCCATCGTCTCTACCCCCTTGGTACATGACTGGCTCGCTCTTTAAAGAAACTCACTATGAAATTCTTTTAGAAAGTGAACCGTTTTGTAATGATATAGATGTTAGGACTTCAAAGGATTTTTCTTTATGTTGATTAGTTTCATTTATTAAATTATTTCTTTAAATTGGTTATAAATGATATGGAATATTTCAGAATTTAAACTGTTACATTAAGAAACATGATATCCTAAATGAACTAAATTAGAATACTATGTCTAAAATAAATAGAGGGTTTTTCACAAGGCACCTTTATTAATACCTACCTTTTGTGTTGAGTTCATGACTGTACTTACTGAGTTGAATACATCAATTAAGGAGAGAGTCTCAGCCGGGCGCGGTGGCTCACGCCTGTAATCCTAGCACTCTGGGAGGCCGAGGCGGGCAAATCGTTTGAGCTCAGGAGTTCGAGACCAGCCTGAGCAAGAGCGAGACCCCGTTTCTACTAAAAAAATAGAAAGAAAATAGCTGGACAACTAAAATTACATATGTAAAAAATTAGCCAGGCATGGTGGCACATGCCTGTAGTCCCAGCTACTCGAGAGGCTGAGGCAGTAGGATCGCTTGAGCCCAGGAGTTTGAGGTTGCTGTGAGCTAGGCTGGTGCCACAGCACTCTAGCCCAGGCAACAGAATGAGACTCTGTCTCAAAAAAAAAAAAAGAAAAGCAGAGAGTCTCATTAAATCGAGGGGCTGTTTTTTATGGTTCATTTCAGTCTCAGTATGTTTGATAACCGTGACATAATTTGTAATATGTCAGCAATTTTTCCACAGATGAAACCGTAAAGTGGTTTGATGGAACTCCCACAGACCAGTCAAACTGGGGCATCCGGGAGCCAGCCATGGACCACTTCAAGCCCCTTCAGTGTGTTGCCCTAAGGATCCCTGAAGGAGTGTGGCAGTTATCCCCCTGTCAAGAAAAAAAGGGCTTTATATGTAAAATGGATGCAGGTAGGTAAAATCAGTGAGTAATTCTTCATTTTGAGTCTACCTTGACTAATGCTGACCTACCTCTTTAGCATTTAAAGATTTTAAAATCCAAGTATTCAGAGGGTATTCAGAGAGATTCTGGCATTTTTGTCTTGTTCTGCATCAAACAAATCAGATGATACAATATTTCAGTTCCTTCTTTCCCTGATATGAAGAAAAAAATCATTATAAATCAACTCAAAGACTCTATGACTTTCTCATGTCCCCCTGGCTGTTAACCTGATGGGGATAAAAGCAGTTTACCTCAAGCAAATAGAACTAGAAACATAAACCAGTAACCTTCACTCTGGTGACTGCGACTCAGAATTTTTAAGGTTTATCTTTGGCCTCAGGAAATACAATCTAGGCCTAGGTATATTTGTTGTGGACAAGTAGATGTAATTCTCTGTTGCAATTCTATGACACAATATGTCATAGAAGTCATGTCTTAACTTCATTATGAGCAGCACACTTAAAGTGATAAAAAATAAAAACCAATTTTAGAACTCTAAGACCGAAAATTCTAGTCAACTGCAAACAACAGAAGAAATTTTTAAGATAAGATGTTAAAGAGGATCATTGACGGTGGGACGGTGTTTATAATCATCACAATAGTTTCTAGATGCCAGTGTTATAAAGAAGGAGGGATTGGTGTGGCCTGGCCTGCTGGAGAAGGCTTCAGAGAGATGAGGCTATGTGACCACAAGGGATGAAGAGAATTTTAGGAGCCGGAACAGAGGAGGAAAGGCATTTTGGACAAAAGACCCAGCATGATGAAAGGCAGTAATTGCGAATGTGCAAAGATGAGAGTGAAGGGCTTGTGTTAAGGAGTGATGGGAAAAAAATTGGACCATAAGTAGGATCCGTTCACAGAGTGCCAGGCTAAACAGCTGAACTTCATGGTGGAGGAGACAGACAGGTGCAGACAGGTGTGCTCTGCAGACACCTGCAGTGGAGCTGGACTCATCTGGATGTAAACAGAAGCATTTGTCATTGGGGTGATAGAACTAGGAACAAAAAAAGAGGGGAGAAGTGGGAAGAGAGAATCACTGGGCCGTGGTGACTGATTACATACTGGGAATGGAGAAGAGAAAACTGCAGGTGTGGGCACCCATGTATGAAACCCCCATAGTGTGACTATCTGCTCTGTGTGGAAGACATGACTAAGCCTAATAAATAGCATGACCAGGTTATCACTAGCATTTAAGTATCAAGAACAAATCAGAAGCACCTCATGTCTGTGCAGGACTTTAAAGCTTCCTATTTCATCCTTCACAGCTACTTTCCAAGGCAGTGGAGCAATTAGAATATCCCCATTTTACAGATGAGAAAAGTCCTTGTCCCAGCTGAGGCTACATCAAGGACTTCACTCCACATCCTCCGACTTCTCCTTCTGTACTTCCCACTATCTCTGTGCTGAGAGCAAATAACCTTTTTAAAGTCTTTCTTAAAGAAGTGTCTTCACACACACATAATAATATGTGTTTTCAATAATTTTTAATGCAAAATTATGTGACATTATTTTTAAATCACAAAAACAAGTTAGGTTTTTTAAAATGTTGTTTTTGCTATTGGTGACAATGCTGATTTTTTTTAAGCCGATCAGAGTAAATGAGCACCAAGGCACTTCCTCCACTCACAAATCCCTTTGCCCATCTTCTCTGGATCATTCTCTCCCTCTTTCTCTGGATCTTTACCTAGATTAAAAACAGAATTGTTCAAATTTCGAAATAGAGTCTATTTGAAAGAAATATATTTTTACAATAGGAAGTCCTGAAACAGGAAGCTTCCAACTTTTTGAATAGAGGAGCTATTGTTCATTTCCCAAGACTCTTCAGGTTGCAAGGGGAGAAGATGCTGATCTTAAAATCCGTACACAGAGGCCGGCAGATTATCATTGCTGGACAAACTATGTCAAATTCCAACAAAACTGTGAGTTCCAGGCTTGCAGGCTCTATATTTTACTCATGTTTTTATTGCAGCACAGTGCTGAGATGTGAGGAGGACTCTTTCACTTAAAAAAAAAAAAAAAGTGTATGTGTGTGTTTGTAAGCACTAATCATGGTGATTACTATAAATCAAGGGTCAGCAAACTTTTCTTGTAAAGGGCCAGATAGTAAATATTTTAGGCTTTGGGGGCCATATGGTCTCTGTCTGTCACACTGCCACTGTAGCACGAAAGCAGCCATAGCAACACGTAAACAAATGAGTGTGGCTGAGTTCCAGTAACACACTACTGGTAAAAACAAGTCCCCAGATTTTAGCCATGGGCCACAGTTTGCTGATCCCTACTATAAGTAATGACATAATTTTTCTGAATTAAAAGAAAAAACTCATTTCATTTTTTTATTTGGTTTTAGATATTCATACTATAAAGGAACATCCAGGAAAAGGTAGGTTTGGAACAGGAGAGAACATTTTGATTTTTCTTAGAAATAATAAGATAGAAAACAATTATGTGACCATGTCTATATGATGTCATCGCCATTGAAGTTTTTCTTTCTTTTTCTTTTTTCTTCTTTCAGGACCAACTCATAGTGTCATTCCTCTTGCAGTGGCACTGATCCTAATAATAATACTGGCCGTTTGCACACTTTCCTTCTGCATATACAAGCAGCATGGTGGCTTCTTCAGGAGACTTGCAGGGTTTGGGAGTCCCTACTATTCTACAACCAACTTAAGTACAGTACATTTAGAAGAAAATATTCTCATTTCTGATCTTGAGAAGAATGACCAATAATCATGAACTCAGAGAATGTCACAGCCGTGAGGATGAGTAAAGAAGACAAAATGGGGCGTCTCCTCTATATTTCCCTTCATAGACCAGATGCCATTAGAATGTGAATTGGGCCCCTATTTTAATTATTCTTGAGTGATTAAGAGTTTTGAATTGTAACCAAATTAGATGGGCTTTGATTTATACATTTCCCTAAACTGTGATCCATTCTTAAAAAGAGGAACTTATGCAGTGGTTATTATTCAGAAAGACAAGAACTATTAAAAGAAATTCCATGTCGAAAACTCTCAAACCAATGTGAATAATAGTTTTAGCATTAATATGTTTCTGCTAAAATTTTTTGGAAATTTTAAAACTAATCTGGTAGCTATTTGGACATTTACCATACTCATTCCATTGAAAGAGAGAGAAGAAAAGCCAAAAAATACATATATATATATATATATATATATAATCTAATATTTGTACATAAGAGGAAAAGGAAAGGCTTCCAAGAGGTTTTCTGTTTGTTTAATTTAATTTTTAATAGCAGGATTTGGAAAATACTAATTTCTAAGCTTAAGGGTCATAGGTTCTGGGCTCTAAACCAATATTTAGGTTGACATTTGTTTTTATTAGGTCTGACTTCTCAAGCTAAAGGAGAGGAAAAGATGCGTTTCTTTAGACAGTAGGATCTTGGTTAGCAGCACACTTTCATAAGCAACCACACAGTTAAAATGTGGCCTTAAACCTTCAGTTACTAAATGATGACAAAGTTTGATATTTAAAAATGTTTTACAGATGAACTTAAAGGAATATATTGGGATTTTAATCCTGCTAAAACTCATGGACTTCATTAAAAACTAAAGATATAAGATAATATATAATACTCAACCAGAAGATATAAAATATAACTTGAATTTAAAAGGGAAAAATTGAAGATCTGAATGATAACTAGAGGATATGTTGAGAAGTACGAAATAAATTACTCTGCAATAGTAATCTAGATACTTTTATTGTATAAATGAGTTTATTTTAGGTGTTCTATTTTAATAAACCATGATTTCTGGGAACCCTCTCCTTTTATATTAGACTAGCTAGTGCAGTTGATAAACAATAATTTAAAGTATAACACTGTAAATTTTTAAAAATCACAGATTTGATCTTCCTTCATTAATTTCTTATAAAGAAAAATGGCTCCATAGTCAATATTCAAAAGTTTACTCATTACTTAAATGTTTATTGAGTTCTGATTAAGAACCAAGTGCTATTTTAGAAACAGGGGTACTCGAGTGAGCAGGTCAGTTAGGTCTCTGTTGTCATGGCACTTGTTTTCTAATGAGGAAGAGCTGACAGTAACCACCAGTAAATGCATAAGAAATACAAAGAAATGTGTAAGTACAAAATAGAGGGTGGTTATTAAAAATTAAGTAAGGTCCTGCGATAGAGGGAAACTGAGGGGACCTGGGAGCCTTCCTGAGAGTGTGCATTTTAATTATTACAACCAACTGCCTCAAAACTGGTGGCCACTGGTACGAGGGGGAGCTCCGAGAGAAAGAGGAATGAATTTCTAAGGGGCAAACCATCGTCATTAGAAATACAGTTTGAAGAGCATGCCCTGCCAATGGAGCCCTGGCGGCCTGAAACACTGCAGCTGCCAAATGCAGCACTTTCCTACTGCTATATTGTTTACACACTGGGACAATCTACCTTCATATTTTCTTTTAAGACTTGGCACTTCATTTTTTTAAGATATTATATTATGTGGCAGTTATATATTTATGACTCAAAAGAATAATTGACTTGAACTAACCAGATGGTATAAAAGCCCAATTTAACAATCTGTCGAGTGAAATTAAAGTTCTGTTCTTTTCAGTGGACTTGGTAAAAACTGCTGATCAATTAGCCTTCCAGTCAGGGTATTAATATGTAGTTACACATACATTTATACACATACACAATTTGACAAATATGCCATTAGGTAAGTGGTCTTGCTCAAAGACACTGTATTGCTTGTCACTGTTCCATACTTTGATATTTAGTGTTGAACCACATCTCCAGAGAATCTGTCCCAGTGGACAGGTCATGCGCTCCTTGCCATTACTGAAATTGCAGAAATAGAAAGTACTTTTCAAACTTTTTTCCACCTTATCTATTTTTAATCAGAGCTAGATTTTATAGCTAGAACATGAAAAGAAAAAAAGTAGCAGGATCACAAACTCACGCATAATTAATGTATCCCCCCCAATCAATTATTTTCTGTGACTAACCTGAGCATCTTTATAGACTCTTAGTAAGGGACAATCTTGGATTTTTCCAATTAACCGTATCTTGGGCTCTTCCAATTATAACATTCTTTTTTCAAGTTAAATGTTTCTTCTTTTGAAAGTTCCACTCCCTATCAAAAACAGGGATAAACGGAACATTTAAATAAATACTCAGTTTTTTGGAGTTTCTTTACCCTCCTCCAAATGGCAGGTGGATATATGAGAACTTGCTGCGTCCTTCCGGTAGTGAGGGGAGAGGTGATAGCTGACTGTGGATGTGTGTTATCTAATGTCCACCGAGAATGTGGTCTGGCCCCACTCCTGGGAGTTGCGCTGGCATCTGCTGTGAGGTCTGTAGTTGGTGTAGCATGTAGTCTGTTCTCTTTGATCCTGGCTCTCTCAGGCACTGCCTTACCTCTGGAGAACTGGCTGTGACTCCTGTTCAATTCCCTACCTGGACACTGCAGTTCTTCACTCCAAGGCCACTTCACCCATGCAGTGGTGACACCCTATCCAGCACCATCAGCTGCTCTATTAGTCGGGCGAGGCTAAATGCAGTAGCAAGCAATCCTAAAACCTTGGGGGCTTAACACAGCAAAGGTCTATTTCCTACCCACACCTATATGGCTTGCAGGAATTCTGCTCTATTCAGTCATTCATGAGTCCAGGTTCCTTGTGTACAGTCAGGCCTGCATGGTCCGCCAGTGGGTCTCCTACCTGTGGCTAACAGAGGAATTAACTCGAGATCTGTCTTTAATTATATAGCTTCCATGGGCTGTTGAAATACATTCGCTAAGTAAACAATTTCGAACTTGGGATGCATACCCCAAGGGTGCATAAAGATTTCCCAGGGACTCAGGGGCATGGATATTTTTAAGGAACTCAATTTCCAGAATTTTTAATCTTCGTGTGTATTTTTTCTTAGAACTGACTTGCCTGAGAGCACCCCTCTGACCAAGGTGTCATGCTGGTTCTTCTTTCTTACCTCTCTTTGCACAAATGCCTTTGTCTACCCTTTTTAAAAAAAAGCAAGGAGGATGGCTTTCATTCCAGATCTTTTTATGAGGCCTTACCTTGGGAAAATTCTTCATGGCACCAAACAAAGAAAAAACTTAAAATATTGATGCCAGTGAAGATTCTTTTACTAAAGAAATCATAAACCCTCAAGAGCCTCATGTCTTTCTCTGTGTTCACACATTTTTCTGTTAAGGATGAAGTGATGAGTTAGAAATGAGTTATTTTGCCCCACATTCAAATTCTGAATTAATATGTATTGTACAGTGAAACAGAAGGACTGCTAACTACCGTTGTTTGAAACCTTATCTCAACCATCCCTTGACTATTGTCAAAGAATGTGTTTCTACAGAGAAAATCTGGTGAAAGCAAAGTGAAGAGAGTGTAGATGCTGCTAAGAACCTGACGTCTTATGTTATCCAGGTGAAAAGCTTATGACGAGGCTCTGTGCTTTATCTATCTTAGATTTCTAAGCGAGTTGTGAGGATGAGTATTAACAAGATTATCTGAATTGAAAAATGAAATCAGGCTTTTTCTGAACACTGTCTTATTTGGCTCATTGGTTTGACAAGGAGGATTGACTTTACCAATTAAGCTTTGTGATGAACACTTTTTATTTATTGGATAAACTAAATCTGCAACTCTAGTGTTCCGATTAAAACGTAATAAGATAAAGGCATTTGAATAGAAAAATAGTATTGACAGAAGTATAATGAAATAATATTTTATTTTTCCCAACCCTACTTTGTTTATCAGGTAAAACAAGGTGCCTGTAAGTGAAAGAGTAATAGGCAAAACAGTCATGTAAAAAGTCTCAGTAAAGCCTTTTAATTTTAATTCTAGGAAAGTGACAATGTGAATCACTCTAATGACTAGGTAACAAATCCTTTTGC